TTCCAAAATCGGATCTGAACCGTTGAGCCTGATTAACGGTCCATACCCGAAGGCCCTCAGTAGGACTGAGGCCGACCCAACACTATATCAGCTGRGTACCAGCCTCAGTCGRGTAGGTTGGTAGACAAGAGTTTAGTCTTCAKGATTAGCGCAGCGTTTYAGCATTAGCAAGATTAGCKCAGCGCAGCAGCGTTAGTGTGAGCAGCGAGGAGAGATCAGCACAGCGGCGAGGAGGGACCAGCGCAGCAGTGGAACAACGTCGGCCACCGGCCCAGCGCCAGTGTGGCATACTGCGCAGCCACACGGGCCTGCAGGGCCTGTCCCGCAGTCTCAGCCTAAAAGCCTAAAAACAAGGGCTTACAGGCCCCGTGTCGTTTCAGCCTGAAAGCCTGAAAAACGAGGGCCTACAAGCCCTATGTCGTTTCAGCCTAAAACATGGCCTTCCAGGCCCTGAGTCTTTTCAGCCTGAAATGGAGGGCCACTTTCGGGCCCTCATAAGTTCGACCTGCCCTAACACTCAGGCACCAAACGAGGGTTTCGGGAATAGGCTATTTTTGGCCTGTTCCCACGACAGCCTCAGCATGAGATGCAGCGGCAGGCCCTGGCTCACTTCGGCATTGGCAAGAGCAGCCTCCTGGACTGCCCCACCCTGCAGCTGCAGGCAGTCAGGAGGCAGGCCGAGGTAGTACATAGGGAGTTCCCATGCACTTCACAGGTAGAGGACAGAAGGCAGGAGGCACTCTTCAGGATTCGGTCGCAGCACTCTGGAGGAGCGCTGATAGGGTAGTGTTAGCGCTATCAGTAGTCTTCAGTGTTGGGCGCTAGTAACTGCAGGAGTAGTCTACAGCGCAGGGCGCTAGTGGTAGTGGTAGTAATAGTAGTGTTGGAGAGAGATGGCTGGCGGAGGCCAGTGAGACTTACCTGTGGCGCCATAGCTCCAGCTCCATCTTCGAGGTACCTGCACCAAGGCGCCAGCTTCACAGGTTAGTACCGGACAGAGAGAGAGAGAGAGAGTTGCAAGGAACATGAATGTGGACGAAGCACAGAAATCCAAATTGCAAAATCACACTGAAGTCCATGTAGTCAAAGCAAGAGCAGATAGCACAATGGAACCAAGGAACCATCCATTTGAGAACGATACAGCAGAATCGTGAGTCAATGTCTAAGCCCAATCGGGCAACACCAATAACATAACCCAATGTAGCACCATCTCTTAGATGGTGCCAGGCGCCCTATCTACTCTACAGCCTATCCCTACAACTACAGCATGAAAGCAACCAGACAACTTGACGACCAGCGAGTGATGACGTCAACACCAATGCCGACCTCCTCTCCACCAGGTACGTCTCTCTCTTTGCCCTCACCTCCCTCAGCGCCCTCATGCAGCCCGGCTATGGCCGCCAGCGCCCTGCGCCCAGGCTGCGCCCTACCGCTTAGCGCCAGCCTGCCTGCTCTCAGCCTAGCGCAGCGCAGCACAGCACTGCACCTCATAATGCTTCAGCGTGCCAGCATTGCTCGCAATGGCCAAGATCCCTGCCCACTCGCCTGCTCTGCCTATATGCCAGTGTTGCGTGTGGGCGCTTTGCCTTGAGCCTGCGCCTGGGCCCCAGTACCTATACCCAGGCCCAATGCGGTTGGGGCTCACGTAATTCAGTTGCGCCTCTTTCATCAAAGCCTGCATCCAGATTCAGATAGTGGACCGGTTTCCCATTGGCATTTTCGGCCTCTACGTCCAGCATGCAATGTCGGCCTCACATTTATGCGCCCAGGGCCTAACCAATTCTGGGGCCCTGGTCCTTCTGCATTTGCAGAGCTCCGGTACTCGATGCACTCCAACCAACTGGCGTGCGGCAACTGTATGGACACCACTTCTTGAAATGTTGAAGAAAGGGGCTCTCGTTGATTTGCTGGCCCGCCTTCACTTAGGGCGGGCACGAGGCTTGCTGCGGGCCTTTGCCCAGAACATGTACATCACGACAAGGCCCCATTGAGGGCTCAATCCTCACAGAGTACTTCTTCTTCCTCTTCTAAGTCCACCATCTCTTCTTCACCCTCTCACTACCTGACTTCTCTATATCTGCGGACTAAGAGAGAGAGAGAGAGAGAGAGAGAGAGTTAAGACTTTGAGACTTGACGACATTGGATCCAGACTCGACATTGGGATTCAGACACTGGACGAGGGACTATTTGGGCCTGCGCCGAAGACTTGGTGTTGACGACATTCCCATCTTCCCCTCTTCTTCGTCTGTGTATGGATGGGGACCGGCGCATTCTTCCTCTGTGAGTGCCAGACCCCTTCACACCATGGAGTGATGATGATGTATGTTCGGGGCTGCATTGCAATATTGATTGTTTGGATCATTGGTGCCTAAGTCTTCCGCTACGCTATCTTGTACTTTGTGAGAGAGGTCGGTTCTTGTTCTGGTCTGCACCGTTACGTTATGCAACAGTTTGGTATAGGAGCGGACCTCTCAATCAGAGGACCCGCTCAATCAAGTAACCAACTTGCTTGATCTATTGATTACTCGTTAGTAAATCAAGTAGGACTTCGTCAAATCTCTGGAAAAAAAAATTCTTTCGCAACAAATATCTGTTTTTTTTTTTTTCTTCCGAAAGCGTATCTGAAAATTTTTGACAATCGCATTTCGTTTTACCTAAAAATTTCTGATATTAGTATTTCGTTTTCACGCAACAAATATCTGAAAATTTCTGATAATCGTATTTTGTTTTATCTAACAATTCCAGATAGTAGCATTTCTCCAGTATTAGCAGCCGAAACTTCTGATACTAGCATTTCATTGTCTAGGCATATTAGGATAACGATAAAGGTGGTCATATTCTCGGAAATTAGATTTAGTTTTTTTTTTGAAAATCGCATCTCTACTCATCTCACATGCCTTACTCATAGAATATCGACATATATACAAAAAAAAAAAAAAAAGGGTGATCCTCTTCTTTATTTTTTTAAATTTTTTTTAGTCTGTTGATTAGGACTGGGAGGAAAGTATAGCTGGGTTAGTAACCTACCTGCGTTTTCCCTCCATGTATCTCAAGTCTTTCACTGTTTTTTGTATTAACTTTGTATTTTCTAGTCGGTTCTGAGAATCTGCGCCACACTTATGACTGTGTTTCACGAGTATGCAACAGAGGCCGACCCAGCACTATAGCAGTTGGGTACCAGCCACAGTCGGTAGGTTAGTAGACAGAGAAAGAATAACGAATGCTACATGTTTGTGAAAGTTTTGAAAAAAAAAAAATTTTGGAAAAACAATGTCGAAAAAGATAATTAGTTAAGTATTTGCAAATTTACAAGAATTTCAAATGAATAATAAAAATGAATTATAAATAAATAAAGGGATAAATGAGGGTCTATGATTGATTGGGTGGTAGCATGGTGGGTAGGGTAAAGGAAAGGTTTGTACTAGGAGATTGATGATGATGATGATGATGATGATGATGATGATGATGATGATGATGATGATGATGATGGCGGTGGTGGGAAGGAACGTAGGGGAGAGTCAGGGGGGGGAAGCGGACTCGGGGAATCACACGTGGGACAGAGGAAGTCGGGGGAAGGAGGTCCTGGTTGGGGTCGAGGGTGGGGGCGCGCAGTTGGGGTGGGGCAGTCGCAATCGCAGTTGGGTGCGATCCAGGTCGGGGTAAGTCGGGGGGCGCAGGGGGAATCGGTGGAGGATCGCAGTCCGGGAGGGAGGTGGGGGAGTCGGGAGAGGGAGAGGGATTTGGGGAGTTAGGAGGAAGATGGTGCGGCAGGGGAAGAATGGCGCGCTGGGGAAAAATGGCGGCGCGCAGGGGTCGGGGGTCAGGGAATCACGCGGGAGCGAGGAAGCGGGGAAGGTGGGCGGGGGTGGGAGAGCGCGGGGAA